GCGCAGAAACGTGCGTACGCACGGTTTTATAAATCTGAAATTTTTTTGGCGTACGCCATTTCCGCCTTTTGACCGTACGTTCACTTTTAGTATGATTTCCACGCAATCCTTTATAAATGAGACCCCTGACCCTTATTCTTCACTTTGCTTCATACGAGGGTCTGGACTCGCTGCTATAGAGAAGCGATTCTTGCTGGAGGCGTGGCCTCTGCTGAAGTGTCGCCGTGTAGGAGGCTAAGCTAAGAAGCTAACACAGAAATTGCGTGTGCTGTAAACAACCCTACTGAGAGGAGAGAAGCACCGAGCTGTAAATGAGAGCAGCTGCTTTGTCAGACAAATTTATTTTAATTTGGAAGCCTTATCAACACAGACTGGCTTCATTCACTTCCTCCACTGCCGTATGCTAAACTAACTAGCAGACACTGCAGAACATCGACGTTCTGTTCTCTGATTGGTTCGGCTACAAATCTGCGAACGAAATTGTTGTCTATGGGAGAAATCCCAGACGGAGCAGTGAAGGGAAACTAGAATTTAGCGGAACAGCGTAGGAAGGCCAGGGCCAGGCTAAAATAAATCATAAAAAGTTCTAAAAATTATTTTTCATCCCCCATTTGTGGCACCCCCTAGCTGGACGGCACCCTTAGCATTTGCTTAAACTGCCTATGGCAGTGTTTTTCAACCCTGGTCCAAGGCACACAGTCCTGCATGTTTTAGATGTTTCCCTGCTTCAGCACAGCTGGTTTCAGTTGATAACTGATTAACAGATTTTTGTTGAACTGCAATCATCTGAATCAGGTGTCAAAACAGGGAAACTTCTACAACATGCAGGGCAGTGTGCCTTGAGGACCAGGGTTGGGAAACACTGGCCTATGCCACAGTCCTCCACTCTTTTTAGCTCACTAGACTTTATTGCTGCAGCAGGTCATAAACAAAATAATGTTTTTGTTTGCATCTATGGATGCGAACATTTATTCGTTTCACATGTTCAGACCATAAGAACCTTTAACAGATTTTGATAAAACCTGTAGAAAGTAGTCACTGGATGTATGTCGACACCTGAATAATCTTATTCAAGATGGTCACCACAGCTAACGGACATTCACAACTCAAAACTCAAACTCAGATATTCAATGTGGAGCTAAATTTGGGTCATTAGTTTTGTTCAAAATCAAAAGTTTTTGAAACTGAAAAAAAAGAGATTTGAAACAGAAAAATATTTTGAAACTGAAAAAAATGAGCTAATGTTTGTGTGCATACTCTACACGGGAACACATTTCTAACAGTACTGCCTGAGAATGAGCGTAATGTCTTTTACAATCCATCCATTACTTTTACCCTCTTCTTCTTTTCAGGGTCACTGGTGTCCATATCCAGCAGTGACTGTGTGAAGAGCGGGGGACACCCTGGACAGGTCACATGTCCATCACAGTGAGACGCAGATTTTAATCATCTCAAAAAAAGAAGGTGTAATGGATCTAATACTTTTATGTTTTAGCTAGTTATTCATGACATCCTTCAATGACCTTGATTTTTATGACATTCTGTTCATCTGCAGACAGAATGATTAAAGTCAGAACAAGATTTGCTAACAACAGTCATTCTTAGATATCACTTGTGTTTATCTTTGTGTTTTCCATTGACCTTGTATGAAATCTTGCTAAGATGACAGAGTGGTGTTTGTTAATATATATATGAGGCCTCTCGAGACAACTGTTCAACAGTAGTGTGGAGAGAC